TCCATTTGGAGCTCCAAATTTGGATGATTTTGAAAATATCCAAAGAGGAAATATAACACTCTGTTCAAGGGGGAGTTTCTTTTCATTTGGATATCCGTACCCGACGATCCAATAAGCAACAGAAGAATGATGAAGTGGATAACGAGAAGACCCATTCTCAAAATCACTTGAGTCTTAGGATTAGAAATCCGGGTTATTGTTAGTGGTGTCCGACCACTTTACTTTTATGCAAATTCTAGCATGTAATAATAAGTGGCACTTGTCATATGGACTTTCAATTCGAGCTATTAAATTAGTTGATTTGTTTACTTAATTGCACATTAGAAATATATGTTTTTCTAGTCTTTTTATTTGCATGTCGTACTTGCTTTAGCCTAGAATGCGATTGTAGGCTCATAAGGACCGGTCAAAACTTTTATACATTAATTAAAATTAAAATTTTTAAGATAAGATAGAAACTCTACACGGTCTTAAGAAGTAAGCTCGGACTCGCCGAGGGTTTTTCATGCATCATATTAAACCTTCTCCACCTTGTTAGGCACCTCCCCGCCTGCGGGTTTTGGCAGACTACCTGGCCTATGAGGGTGCAAATCGGTCAAGGGGATATTGTGCAATCTCTAGGTAAAAATCTATTTTTTAAGCCAAAATTTTTTAAACTGCTTCATACTGATTCATGCATTTAATCAAGTCGACTAACATGCATTGTATTCGTAACAAATTAAATCGAGTCTAAAATTTTAATTGCATCTATTTAGACATTAAACACCCAACATAAGTTAAAGGGCCAATTAGGATCTGCTCTAGAAATCAGCCCTATTTTCAAAAACCTATTTAATTAACATCATTAACTACTCTTTCATAAAAGACCGAATACATATTTTTAAAAGCGCTTAGGTGGTTTAGCTGGCTCCCCAATCAAGGCCGGGGTAAGTCAAGATTTGCATTGCACTAGCTAGGTTCGAGTCACTTTTAAGTACTCAATTTAGACTTAGGTTTTGAGACAGGCTCGGGCTATAAGATCTCATCCTCCGGGAATTGAATTCCAACATTCTAATAAAATTGATCACTCAAATCTAAATCTCTTTCAATCAAATTTAAGTCCAACACTTAGGATAGGCTGAGGTGTTTTATTAAGTAATTCAAAATCTCAAAACACATCCTTACCTCTCTTCCTTTGACTCTAGAAATAAGTGTTCAACATTGAAACATTCCCGTTCTAAAATTCTAGTCCTTACCTTATTTGACATCGATCTTTGAAAATCTTAAATAAAATTCATACCACTATTTTAATCGAGAGTATTTGTAGGAAACTTCGGTTTCTTACGATGTAATTAACTACGAGGGCATACGCTCGTAGGAGATTTAGAAACCCAGACCATATTTTCAAAATCAAGTTTTCAAAACCTTTAATTAATTATCTTTGGGAAATAAAAAAATGGCGACCGTTATCGTCATAATCAAATAATCGATAATAAGCAATATTCTCTTTTCTCGAGAAGATATATTACTTTATTATCATTACTTTGATTATGACTTTAATGATCTCCTATCCTGATCATTATAATCAAACACTCGATTAAATTCTATTTTGACCCTCCGGGGTCAAATGTGATTCTTTCCTGAGTTTGACTACGATAATCAGGATAAATTCAAAATTTTGTAATTTGAACCCATTAGGGAATGATATGTTCACCTCTCGAGGGGATATGTTATTCATAATGACGCGTTCAATTTCAAAATTCCAAAAATTAATCTTTCCCAAAGAAAATTAATATTTTTCAAAACTACACTTTTTCAATCAAACATAAAAATACTATAACATAATAAAAGACAAATACATGAAATGACTCAAAACTACATCGCCTCGATCGTGGTCATAGATCGACGGTCACGCCTCTGATACACATTCCATGCTCTGATGTTCCCATCATAAACAGTCATGGATCATAAGCTTATGAAAAATTATGGGTCTAAAAGTAAAATATAAAATATATCAATAGCCTTATCATAACTATTTGGATCAACTTTAAACATTCTTATCTTCTATCCATTTTGATTAAGTTTAACATAAGGTATTATATGTGTTTTATACAAATTGATTTGCATAACTTTAATCTATGCAAGTTAGTTCACCGCCATTTCTTCATAATCCTTCCACATTAATTTTATCTTTAGCCACTCAGTCAATATTCTTCTTATAATCACTCTTGTATAATTATTTCCTAAACTATCTCCCCTTGTTTGACTACACAACTATCATAATCACTACTAGTGCCTATTTATCACATGATAATCAAATCTATATACAATGATTAGTCTAATTTTTGTTATAAAATATTGATATTTAATCTCTAAGATAATGTCTAATCTATGGCACTCCAAAGGCACATCCTCATTTTAACCAACCTCAATTCTAAAAGCTCAACCATCCTCTACATCCTCATTTTACATAATAGATCCAAAATGGATGTTAAGTTGCACTTAATCTTCTAAAAATATTAATTGATTATTAGTTTCCCACCAATTAAAATTGCATATCAAAAAACTCAATTTTGCTACTACTAATACAAAGCTTCATATATATTAAAAACATTTCCATTATTCTAATGTTCCATTTACTTTAGTAAAGGTCCCACCAATCAAAACTAAGTAATTTCATGTAAATAAATAATAATAATAAAACTAGTTAATTCGCAAGAGAAATAATTACACCTCACTTTGAATGTCCTTTAAAAGTATCCTCATGACTACAAAAATGTATTAACTTCACATTGATCGTGGTAGCAACCTTATTGGGAGGTCCTTGGTTACTCTATAATTAGTAATACTACTTATCAATATTCCATCATACAATTAGTAATAATACTAATCAATATTCCATCATACAATTAGTAATAATACTAATTAATATTCCATCATAAGTAATTTTAATGACTTAATATATCTTTACCACATTGTTTTACCTTAATTCACACAAAATTGTTCCCATAGTACCCAACTATAGGCATTCATAACAACAATAAAAATTCTAAGAGGATCATTTATTTTCTTTTGGTACTTTCCATCGTATGATGCATTGACATGGCACTTAAAGAGGGTATGCAGTGTCGGACACGGACACGCGTCGGACACGGCAGGACACATGTCCGACACGGCATTGGAGTGTCGCAATTTAAAAAATTAAAATTAAAATCGAACACGCGTGTCCGGTTATTAACTGAGATATCGCTACATACATGCTCGGTACCGCTCAGTACATGCTCGGTACTGCTCAATATATGCTCGGTACCGCTCAGTACCGCTTGGTACATGCTCGGTACTGCTAGGTACATGCTCGGTACCACTCAGTATCTTCCCATACAAATAACTTACGAACTTTAAAAACAAACAGAACCAAAATTACTCTTCCAATAAAATTAAATTTTGTTCCGGGGGCGCTGCCCCTTGACCCTGCGACCTGACTGGGCAGGTCAAACCCAGCCAGGGGGCAGCGCCCCCTTGGACCCCCGGCAAACCGGTATATTGTTGTATTCATGTTGTCTTATTATTGGGATATTTTGATTTCACTTCATATCAATTTAATTTGATGTATTCATATGTATGATTGGTTTGTTAGCAAAATGAGCTTTGCTGCTGGTGGGGGTGGATTAGGTGAATGTTCAAAAAAGTCATCTGTCCACGCCGTGTTCGTGTCCTATATTTTTAAAAATTATTATATATTATATTAAAAAATTATTATGCAGTATCCACGCCGCACCAGTATCCTATATTTTTAAAAATTACCGTGTCTGTGTCATGTCGTGTCGCCGTGTCCGTGTCGGTGCATCATAGTTTCCTTCAATTGCCTAAATAAAAAAATCAACTTCATCGTGAGCCTTTCTAGAATAAATCCAACTTGATTCTTATATGTTAAAAAAAATCAAAGCCGATATTCTAAGTGCAGTGTATATCTCAATTTTTTTATATTATAATAAACACAATGCGAACATCTCATAAGTTCATACATAATGGTGCCAAAATACTAAACTCATTTGACACTCTCTAGTCTTTAAGATTCTATTAAAAATATTTATTGACCAAACTACTCTTAAGTTCTCCCACAACTCTCTAATTCTCAAAATATCTCAATTGGACCTATATTTTTATCTTTATTTTTCTTCAAATATAATTCAACTTTTCTTTTATCAATCAATTCTACATAAAGTGATATAATTCATATCGGTTTATAAATTAATATGAAATTGGTCCAGAAGGACAATTATTGAAGTAAAATATTGTTACAAGGTATATGACACCTTACAAACTGCGCTCATGCCACCACAACGCATGCCCAAGATCAATTAAAGCTAAATTGATCAAACCTCAATCAAGTATATGGACAACACTCAAATGGACCTGACATAGTCTAAGGGATCCCTAAAGTGGCAATTTTGTAGATTACAATGATGATGAAATTTGAAGAAAGGCATCCAAAGGAAGCAAACACGACAAGAAAGAAAGACTGATGTTGAGCTACGCAAGCTGGAAAGCAAATTGACAATAATGATTTCACTAGCCAGCATGCAAGTAGAAATGGCTAGGTTGCAAGTGAGCAGCAATGTTAGGTTTGCATTCAATTTGGTAGTTAGTGATAATTTCAGTGAGGGTTAGAGAATTTTAAGAAAAAAGCTAAACTCATGCTAAATGAAACGAGAATTATCAGCCATTAAATAAACTAGTTTTAAATTTTATTAGAATTCAGATGTAATTAGATCTAAATATTGGACTAAAATTTAAGGTCATATGTCAGGCGTTAGTTAGCTAGTACATAAAAAAAAATTTGGTGGTTAACAAGTAACTTCAAAAAAATTCACATATGAAGGATTCATGCACACTACTGAATTATGACTTAACATGACAACTAAAGACTAATGGCAACATAAAACAATACACAAACATTCAGCTGTAAGTTATAGCAAACAAAAATCAAATTTAAACAACATTGTTCAAGATGAGTTTACCCTCAAATGAACTATCGTCATTCAATGACTGCCTTCCTTCATTATTTAGGTAGAGGAAAACAGAATTATTGACTAGGTTGCAGATGGAGACAAAAACCCCCAGACAGAACTGAGCAAACAGAAATAATCCAGGTATAGGGTAATGCCACAATCCTATTGTCTCCCAAATCTCCATATCCTGATATTATGTTTGATTATTATATTAATAGTACATAATGAGTCTAATATGTAGAATCTGCAAAATAAAAGATACCTTTCTTAGTTCCTTGTTGAGAAATGTGAACGCCACATTGAAAATGTAGGTGCTGACAGCCCAAAGAAGAATGAACACAAGAAGTAAACCATTCAAACGGTGCAACTTGAACAAGGAGGGAAATGTAAACAATACATAGCCCACATATGCTAGCAAACCAAAAGCACATATACTGGCAAAACTGAGGCTCCATAAAGAAAGAGCAATCAGCAGGACCTGTCACATATAGCACAGTAAAGTTTTATGAATAGGCCCATCATATTGGCTACACCTCAAGTTATATAAAGGACAGCAACGATGGCAAATGAATAATTTTGCAATATTACCATACCAGCTATTCTATCGAATACAATGGAGAAAAGTACTTCACATAATTGTTTGCTATTTATGATATGGTTCAGAAAAGTGGTAGAAAAAGGGAAACATCAGGCATGAACCTAGCTAATGGATTCAAACTATCTGGGACCAATCTAGGAATTAAATTTGAGGCTATTTTGGATCAGATTTGAATAGAATAGAATAAATTGAACTTCAGGATTAACACAGTCTCCCATAAATAATCCAAAGACATAATTAACGTTTTTCTCGTTCACATTTGTAGAGAATATTCAGTTAAGAGATGTTTGACCTTGAAAGTGTTGGTTTTAATGTTGAGACTAATAGTGTAAGGAGTTTCTATCAAATAAGTGAAGAGCATCAGTCCTTAGAGGTTATCTAAAGGAGATGTACTTTCATCAAGGTGGGCAGAAGTATTACTCAAGAGGAATGCATATAAGAATGAGGCTCAAGTAGGAAACCATGATTACCTTCTAATCATCCATGTTTGAGTGATCGTGGATCACCAACTAGCCGTATAAATTTGTAACTTTTGATTTCCATTTCTTTTAGAAATGCAGTAAAAAATAGAATTGCTAATGGAGTGAAATTTTTTTAATGTTCTCCTAGTTAAATGGATGTATGACCAATTAGCAAGCCACAAGTTTATCTCAGCATTTTGTCAATAAACATCTAATTTAGGCTTCATTTTTTGCTAAATGCACCTTTTTAAAAATGATAAATTTTCCTTGGCAATGAAAATAAATAAAAAGAAGCACTTTATTAGCGTATTCTTAATCATAAGCGTTGCATTCCACATCTTCAAATTTCAGCAGCAATATGGATTCAAATTTATCCAATTCCCTTACCAAAGTCATACCTTCATTTGATCAAACAAGTACTCTCAACAACATATTGGTCATCTTTAAAAAAGTTTCTAGTAGTATCATTTGATTACCTCAGTAAGCAGTCTGGTATGCGTACTCTTCTAGTTACCATTTTAGGATATTCCTTAAAAACCCTTCCCTTCATGAACGTAGGCATTCCTTTGGATTTCATAAAATTTCAACTTTCTTTTTAAAATACTTTAATTGAAACGTATCATTTGAAGTTCTCTTCTTGGAAAAGTAATTTTCTTTTAAAAGGTAGTAGGATTGTGCATATAAATTATGTGAATTTATTTTGTTCCTCTATATAACTTCTTTTTTTAGATACCTAATTGGGTAGTCAAAAGGACCAATTGATGGGGACATCGACAGGAGATTCCGGCGCGTTTATCAGAGACGACACCGGAGATCGACGGACATGATGGAGAGCCTTTACTACTGATGATTATTTATTTGCATTTTATGTATTATGCATGTATTTTCAGTTTTTCCATTTTTACCCTCATGGGTATCTGTTTGCTTTTGTAGCCTAAGGGGCATATTAGACTTTTGTATTTGTTGCCATGTGGAGCCTATATATATGGCTCTTGTATCTTGTATGAGAAATTGATTGATGAATGAAAATTTTCTACTCTTATGTTCTCTTTGTGAGTTCTTGAAGATCCCTTGGTGAGTTCTTTGTTTGAGATCTCTTTGTGAGTTCTCTAGGTAATTACAATCATAGTTCTTCTCCTCCTCCATAAACTACCACAAGCAAAGTCCAAGAGTTGGAAGAAGTCGAATCCTCCATCGTTGCCACCACCTTTGGAACCCCAACCCGTCGGCCACCCTAGCTCCACCCGCCGGCCACCTTGCCGCCGGCTCCTCCCCTCCCCATCCTCCCACCACCATTCTCTCCCTTAGCCTCTTCGAAAATTGAATTTCAAATTCAAAATCTTTCCAAATTAGGAATTTCCAATTTAGGAAAGTTTTAAAATTTTGAATTCAATTTCAATTCAAATGGAATTTGATTCATGAGAAAAATTTTTTCCTAGTCATCATCTTAATTTGGAAACCCCCATCCTCTTTCTCCAAACTCCTCCCCACCTCCTTGATGCATCCGGCCCCCTCTTTGGGCTTCCCATTAATTGCCCAATTAATCCTCCTCCCTATTTTGAAATTCAACTTTAATTTCAAAATAATTCCCTCCAATTTCACTTAAAACTGAAATTCATTTCAATTTTCTACACAACACTCCTCCCTCTCCCCTTCATGCCGCCGGTCCCCCCTTGCATGGGCAAATTTACTCTCTTGCCCAATTAGCCCTCCACCCTCATTAATTTTGAATTTGAAATTCAAACTAATCCCTCCAAAACCACCTAAATCTGAAATTAATTTCAGATTTACTAAAACTCCTACAGTAATTCCTTAGCCTAGCCAATCCCTCTCATCCCAAGCTCCAAAACCCGTCGACCCCCTCTCCCTCCCATCGTTGAGTTTCTTTGGTGACCACTCGTCTTCAAGTCATGTCATATGGCGGATCCCGCAGTTGACCACGAACTCTTCTACAACATCTACGGAGACATCCACGTCCTAAGATCTCCTTTCTTTGACGTTGGATTTGGCTTCGACAATACCGTCGAGGAATACTTTGAAAGGATTCTTCCGACACTAGTGGACGCCGTCGACAACCAATTTTCAGACTACACGTGGATCATCAAAGGTCATCCTCCTGTGCCACCTCCACCTCCGAGTTCCTTCTCAACAACGACGTTCCTTGGCTCCTCCCTCCTCGTGGCAACCTCATTTCTAGTGTGGACGCTCTTCCGCCGCTCAACCTAGTTTCGTAGGAAAGAGAGAGTAAAGCCTCAAGGTGAAAAACTCATTATTAATCGTTGGATTCAAGTTATAAGCTTTTAACGTTACTATTTCCTTTGTATTTGATTAAATCGCTTGGTTAATCTCATTGTAATTCTTTGCCTAAGCAAGTGGAACACTACGAATTCTTGTAGCCGATTTTGACTTGATGCATGATTCTATAAATGGTTAAGCTATTATTAAATCTTCTTTTTTAATCTTGTGGAACTCAACCATGCATCACATCACCAATGGTACTAAAAGGAACATCTTTTTGGGAAAATAAAAACAAAAGTGGCAATCTATTGGATTCCTAATTCAATGGCCAAAAAGATTGTTGGTATAAAAAGGAACAATTTTCTAGAAAAGTAAAATGGAAATTGGCATTCTAAATCTTATCAAGTGGAAGAATATTTATAAGCCTTAAGATAAGAATAGTCATAGCATTAAACGCTTGTGATGAATTTTCCTCTCCTTAAAAAATGGATTTGAAAACCATTCGGCCAAAGAAAATTTTTTTGTTAGTACCATCAATCGTGATAAGTATTTTACGAGCATGACTCACTTAGATTTCTTGTCTAACAGTGTCTCTTGTTGCTCCATTTTTAGAAGAGAGATTTTCTCTGGAATTCATCTAACATGACTCCCTTGAATTTATTTCTTGTTATCTCTAAAGTTATTCATTTCTTTCTTTTCAACATCTCTTAAAAATTCATGATGGTAGAAGCATAAATTTATAAGGATAAATAAATAAATGATTGCTCCCTTGCTACCTATTTCAATAATATTTTCACTTATGCCAAAAATTATAATATAATGTTGCTTAATGTCATACTATTGTTTGAGGTTGACATGGGGTGATGGAAAGGGATTATTCCTTTTCACCTTAATGATAGAAAGGAACTTCTCTTATCTATTATTAATAAATTTAAACTTGATTATGACTGTGACATTCCATATGGGCTTATTTCTTCAAGTGGTATTTTTTGACAATTATAAGAACTCAATCTTGATGGACAAGTGTATAAATACTCCCAATTGCTCTTGAATTTAGAGATCAATCGCTCCACTCAAAATCATAATTCTCATATGGTTTATTTGCATGAGAAAGTTGCATAGTAAGGACTCTACTTAATAAAAGATATTATTAATACTATCATCTGTGATATCTCTAACGATAAGTTGAAAGATGGTTTTTATATCTTATTTGAATGCACACTATCCTTAAAATTGGGAGGTGGCTTTAAAATCTTTTCACTATATCCTCCTCTATTAATAACTTAATCAACTCTTTGTACGTGGAGAAATGTTTATGGAAAAAAATAATTTCAAGGAGCTTTGATATGTCTTCTTCTTTTCATAGATTTATGTTACCAAAAATTAAAAAAATGCTAGTTGCCTTTCAAAAAAAGAAGAAAGAGGACAAGCTCCTTTAATTTTGCATTATAAATCTTGCTTATTTTTGGACTAAAACACGAGGGAAGAAGTTGATCAAAATTAATAGTATGATGAAGAAAACAATTTCGTACTAGTCTACTAGTCTTCTATAGCTTTTTCCATGTTCTACTTAATTATACCTATTTCGACTACCTCCCTTACGTTCCTACTTTTTTTTTAATTATTTGTATCTCGCTCTTTTAAGATATGAGAATGGTTCTTCCAAAAAATTCATGAATTTGAATTTTAAAGAATAATATTAGCCTTATTAAAGCTAGAGTGCTATTAAAAGCAAAATTTTGTGCTAATGCAACTTAATCACATGGTAAAATGCATAATTAGCATCATGAAGCCAATTAGCATGCTTAATTGAAGATAATGGTGTGTATTCAATTATGAATTATGCAACTTTACTTTTTTTAACTAGTTTTATATTACACATTGTTTAAAATTGCATAATATGAGGCTTGCTCGCCTTAACCTCAACACAATTCTAATGAAAAATGTCTCAAGGCTTACGCCTCTAGCTTTTTTGTGAGGCTGGCTAAGGCACGCCTTGAGGCATGCCTCGCCTCACGCTAGTGAGGCGTAACTTCACCCTAGGATTTTTTTTTTTTTTTGGTTAAAACTAACATAAATCAAGCCTCCATGCACATTCAAGCCATAACAACTTCCTCTCGGCTACCTCTAACTCCAGCCCACGGCCTTTGCCTTAGTGAACATCATCATAGTCGTCGTTTGCGAGGCACTTGAAAGTTGCACACAACCACTTTAAAATTTTGGAGTATTAATCTCATATTTATGTTGATAAAAACATTTATAAAAGATGAACATGATCGAAATAAATTAAGAAGCAGATTGGGAGGCATTCAACTCCACTAGATGAGGTAGGGGATATACCAATTTGTTATGATAACAACCCAAATAAAGACCACCACAGTGGGGACAGTGCATATGATTTATGAGTTGTTGCTAACTATCTCAGCTTTCGTTAGGCATTAAATGTAAATGAGTATAGAATTGAGAAAAAAGAAATTTGGAGTTGAACTTGATGTTATATGATACTTTTATGCAATTTTTATATTTAAAATTATTTTGCTCTTCAATAATATTTGGATTTCAATTCTATTTTATGCAATTTATCACTTATCACTTTACATCTTGTACAATTTTTTGTTTCATATGTATATCAATTTTTTAATTCATAATTCAATAAGAAATTAATGTCATCATTTAACATATTATTTAGGTATTATAAAAAATTTATTTTTGACCTTTATTTTTACTTTATGCAATTTTTTTATTTTGACAGTTACACCACAAAATGCCTTGAGCCTTATGCCTCGCCTCACGAACAAAAAATGCCTTAATACTTAATTGCGCAATTTTAAACCTTGATATTACTTTTATATTATAATATTATAAGGGGTTAAGAAGAGAAAATCTAGCAATAGAATTGCATTATATACCATATTCAAACCACAATACCTAGCTATATAATTGCATTAAACCAAAAAAAAAAAAGACGATCAACCACAGAAGATAATTGGTATTATTGAATCTAATTTGATACTAATGTCAAAGGAGGTTTCGAGTTTTTGAAAGGAGGCCATAACACCTTTGAGAACAAAAGAGTCTAATAATAAGAGAATTAACTCAAATCATGATGCAAAAAATAGGTAGCGAGCAGGCAACAACAAGTGCAATCAATGCATTCATAAGGTGCAGTGGAAGATGCGACAGAGGGTGAGGATCGAGCAACAAAGTAACATGTGCCACATGTTAGCGCAACGGGGTATGAGTATGTTTGCAATAAGGTTAACATGCACGAGCAAAAAACACAATTGGACGAGTTGAGATTGAAGGTGGAGGTGATGTCATGCGAGATGGGTTCACAAGCTGGTGCGCATGGAATAAATGAAATAGATTAGTGCGAGTCTGAGAGTGTAGGTCATGCGATATCTCAAAATGAGAGGATTCTATCCACGAGAGAGAGCAACAACAAGGGCTAGTGCAACCCTATTATAATACCATATTGAGGAGAAAAATATTTAAATGCATCTTACGAAATAGAAAACCCCTTTATTTATTATACAAGAATCACTACAATGTGCCAGGGTATGATAAAATAAACAAGCTCTACAATCTATATGTACTTCACTAGAATAATAGTTTCAATGCTAATAGTTACAAATGAAAGTTTTCTCAGACTTTCATGATTTATATCCCTAGTAGAGAACAGCAGACAAAAGGTAATAGCATTTATCTTTTCAAACTGAAAACATTAGCATCCACAAAAGGTTTCATCTTATATGATGATCAAAGGAAGCACATTTCATAAAACATACAGTTAGGAAGTGCCTACCGGAAACCCATACGTGAAGAAATTGATGCTGAATATCCGGAATACAAGCCCCCTCAAAAGAGCATTTGTATGTCTTACACCAGATCTACAAAATATGAATCTTTGCTCAGGACATGAATATAGATGTAGTTATGATAAGAAATTACCAGGGAAGCTAAGTTGATACATCAAACTTCTAAGAAAAATAAGACTAACTTATGCTATCCCAAAACAAGGAAGAACTAAAGAACCAATGAATTCATCAAATTGAAGAAACCATTTAATGAATTAGATTCCCACAAGAATCAACAATTTTAGGAGATAATATATACTTAATCAAAAAATTAAAAGCTAGTTATCTCAAAACATTAGAGCTAGGGGTATAACTTGACCTAAAAGAGACAAGTAACACCATATTCAAAGCAAACCAGCTAATTCAGTACATTCCAATAGATATATTTGGGCTGATTCAAGTTCCATATTACTGCAGAACCAATTATTTTTTGTCAGATCAGGGTTCTAGAATTTAGTTGACTCAATTTAACCTTGACCATTTTTCTTTAGAGAAATTAAATTAGATTAATAAATTAAGTTTAAAAGAGGGATTATTTTAGTTAACATGTAAGAGAAGATGTATAAAGAAGCAATCCCGTATATTTTATATCAGTATTTTGAAAAAAAATGTATAAATAATAACTAAGTTATGATCTATTAATTTTTAAATTAAAAAACCAACTTCAATTATCAATAAATAAACCAAGTAATGGCCCAACCCAAACCACAATATTTATCCACAGTTCGGCATGAAGTCAAAAAATTCCTAAGGCAGAAGAATAATCTTCATACAGTTCATTTAACCGTGAATGAAACAATCATGGCCATATATACAAGCTAATGGAATGGTTTACCTTAAAAGCATTACTTTTTTCATACATCTTATTCTTCTAAAGTGGCACGGCTTATTTGTAATCTAATACTTAGAGACGCCATCAAAAATTACCTTGGATTTAAATCTTTTCAATAGTTTAAAAATCATGGCTTATAAAATCCATTTAATGGAAATAAAAACCAAGCTTGCTTAAGTTTTTGTTTCAAGAAAGTAATTTAGATAGCATTTAGCCTGAACAGACTCCCAAAATTAAAGTTTAAAGAATCCAAATTTTGCACAACATATGTTGCTGCGTCCATTTAATTATTTTTGTTGTATTGCAGGTTTTCTGAATAATGTTTTTTGTTATATATTTAGGGGTTGTTTGGTCGGAAATATTGTGAGTGTATTGTATTCCTATCCTCTGTATTTCCATCGTTTTGATGTTGGAAGCAAATGAAATGCAAGAAAAATTTTGAGGGATTTGAAATATCCAAAAAAACTTGTTTTGCCAGCATTTGAAAACGGCACAAAACAAACGATTTCCTAATACCACGATGCAGCTGCTCGGGATATCAGTAGCTCATGATGAAAGGCAACCAAAATGCAAGTTCAACAAAATGTTTTCACTTATATGGTCTAGACACATTCAAATTTTAATTACCATTGAGACAGCTTTTGCAAGTGATAAATCATGATGTGCCTTTGCTTCCACTGATCACTTTTCAACTAGTAGCATTAACACATGCTAAGTTGATTCCACTCAGATGGATTAATAGACTACCAGCCAATCATCTATAATGAGTTGTTCGACCATTATCACAATCTTCTAACCCGTGCCCTCTAGGAGGATATTTCTTGCCCCAAGGGAATTGATGAAGCCCATCAAATAGAACTTCAATGGTATTACAAGTTACTGTGGCTTAGTTTTTTCAGCCATTTAGGTATATTTCTTACAAAAACTCATTCAAGGGCAAATTTTTCATTTGTGATTGAACTATTTATACAAAGAACTTATGTCTTCCTTTAAACCCTGATAATGATGAAATGAATCAAGTTTTATCCAGAATAAGAGCATTCACAAACATTTACGCACCACCTCTGGGATCATCAGATGACATCCTTTCCGCGGACAAAGGTTATGTGAGAACCAATTAACTTCCTCCAGAATAATACTCTGCATCATCCTCATAGCACATTTATTCTTTTTTTTTCATTTATTTTCCTCTATGCATTTACTGTCTTTGCTATTTCCTTAACTTGAATGCTTCAAGAAGAGTTTGAGGGTTTGAGGTTTCTAGACATTTTCTTAACAGATGAAATAAGGCTTCCATGTGGCACTTTTTTTTTTTTCCTTTTTTGTTGTAAGTAGGTGCATAATTTTAGTATTCTTGGGCACCCATCATGTAACCGTTCTGATCAACATTGTTATTTACAAGTTAAAGAGGTTTTTCAATTTAGCATTTACCCAAAAGTTATAGGCCTGTAGCTTTCATTTATAAAACTTATTTTTAATCCAAAAGAGAATTATAAATTTTAATTTAATAAGCATAAGCATGCAACATGGACATATTCATCCTAACAGGCTGAAGAAATAGTGTATCCACAGAGGAACTTCATAATGAATTCTAGCAGAACCATCAGATGATTCAAATTAACGAACTGATTTTCCTTACGTATTAGAATATACAGTTATAATCGTTCTCATCCAAGAACCTTTCAGTGCTCCAATTACATGACTCACATTTTCAATCATCTACATCGATAACACAAAAATATGCTAATCAACAGTGTCAACAGAAGATTTGCATGCAAGAATCTCTTGCCCTGCTTCAGAAAACCGCACTTTCATAAAAACGAAGCATCCATGCTCTGATTAGTAGAAATGAGAATATCCTTCATATGTTAGAGGTTGCAGAAGAAAATTGATCATTAAAGTTCAAATGAATAATGTGTCTTCACCATTACACAGGTCAATTGAAGTGCATGTAAGGTCATCCATGCAAGCTACCCAGTTATTTATTTTAAAATAAAATCATATATATTAAAGAAAATCATTAGAGTTCAAATAAATACTGTATCTTCACACTATTAAAGATCAATTAAAGTGGATCTGCAAGGTCACCCATGCATTCCACTGAGTTATTTTCTTTCAAAGGTAAACAAGCGTAGTTTCACAGATACATAACACACTGAACAAAATAGAGATATTAGTCAAAAGTTTGTATTTCATTTGTTACCACGTGGGGAATTTATAGTTCATTTTAGATTTTACATGACGCATGTTCAACCTGCTAGCCAAAAGCACAATAACCAATTTAAAGCCTTGCTTAACGCCGCTCATCTACATAGCAGGGAATTATGCGGGTTCTTATTGTAAGAATCAGAAGACCATCATATTAACAATCAACATATATAGAACACAAAAAATTTCAGCGTAACTAACAATGAACATTGAGTCCTTAGAAATTATGAATCAAAACATTTGTTTACTGCTGTAGTGATAAAAATAAAACATACAAAATTCAGATTTTAGGTTGAAGTAACTATTAAACAGATATAATGTAAAGTTGGGGACAATGTTGAAAAAGTTTCAAAAAACACTAAATCAACCTAAACCCTGCCCATAAAGAAACAAAATCCCTTGATCATCCTGAGCACAACCCAAAAAATCAAAAGTTTGGAAAGCATGTGTAAAGATCCAAAACAAAAAAAGGCTAGTAATCTTTTTTATCTATAGAAAATTTAAGGATAAGTTTGTTTTCTAAACATCTAAAACTAACGCTTTCATGCTTGAAATAGAATATATTTCGTTTAGTCTTGCCAATATAGGTTATGCACAATCTTTACCCTCCAATATCTAACATTGCAAAGTATTAATTAAGGTGAGCCAAGTTTCCATATAAACAATTAATGCAAAGCAACCAAACAGATGTTCTGATTGTATGAAACTCAAATAATGTTTACATATTCTAATACTAGGAAAAAAAGATAAAGCTAACACAACTCAATCCATAAAATGAAAGCAACACTCACGGAAATTCTCTTATAAAAAAAGAGTGCCTTGGAGGAAGAAGTCGTTCGGCAAGAGTATTATCTGCCAAGGTCAACATAGAATCCATTTCATCCAAATTGCACTTGATGGATGACAACTGCAATAATAGAAAAATATTATAATAGATTATCTTAGATAATGACTGTATAAAGAGAAAATGAATTTTTCTTCAAAATGGCTATCAATCTCAAATAAGTAATGATTTAAGTCCTTCAAATATAGATTATATGAATGAGGAAAAAAACAAAAGATGAAAGGTGTTTTCAGATATCAAATAAAAAAAATGCCATTTTAACATATCAAGAGAATACTCAGAAAAAAGTTCTTAATAAAGTAGATATATCAACAATTGATGCATATATCTAAAGCTAGAATACACCGACACTCTGTAATAATAAAACATGTTGTATCGAACACATGCAAGACATATGCAATCGCCCGTCATACACCCAAAATGTGCGTAGACACCATAAACATGTTTAGTTAAAAAAAAAAAAGAATAATAAAAAAAGCTAATATAGCACACATACCCCAAAAAATAAATTTGAATTTTAAAAGTAAATTACATAAATAACTTCAAGCTAATTATAATACATATTAATAACTTAATAACTACTTAACAATAATTTTATTTTTCTTATTTTGCACTATTATAGATTTTTTATGTTGTTTATTATATATATGTATATGTATATAAATATATATATACAAAAAAATCAATTTTTCAACTTCAAGCTAAGAATCTATAGTATCATGTGATTATTTCTCCTTCAATTGAGTTTAAGATAATTAATTAATTTAATTTTTTTATTTTATGACCAATTAAAATAAATCAATTATTATATAAATTCATTTCAATTTTATTTAATTTACAAAATTATTATAATTTTTTATTTTAAGCTATAACATCATAACATCGTGTCCAATTCTTACTTAATTCATATTTGTATCATGTATTTTCAATACTCTAAGTGTGACCTGACGTGTCATATCGTAATTATGTCCTTGTATCCATATTGATGCATTATAGATCTACAATTCTACAGTAACTTACCACTAAGGTAATGCAAAGACAATTATCAAGCTACGCTAGACTTGAATATCTTCAAGTACTTTTTCATAAATAATTGGGCTTTATGCATGGAAGAACTACTATGAGGCTTTTCTTCGCCTAAAGCTTAATGAAAAGTTATCAAGAGCCATAAAAGGATCTTCAATTTTACACGGTCTTTATTGATCTTGAAAAGGCATTTGATCAAGTCATTGTTTAAAACTACGCAATATGAGGCTCGCCTTGAGGCCCGCCTCAGCACAATTCCTCTAAAAAATATCTCGAGCTTTTTTTATGAGGCGTACCTCGCCTTGCTGGCATGAGGCGTACGCCCACTCTATTTATATATTTTTATTTAAAACTTACCTAAATCCTCTACAAAAGCCCCAAAAAAATCATGTTTTCTTGCACCCCCAATCCGCAGCAACTTCCTCTTAATTGCATCGACATCCAGCCCACCGCCTTCACTTTAGCCACCACCGTTGTAGCCGACATAAGGGATTACTAGAAAGTTGCACGCCACCGCTATCCCCTCTTAAAATTTTGGAGTATTATCATTATGTTGATGACAAACATTTATAAAAGATGAAGAAGACTTAAATAAATGAAGAAGAACCATATTGTGAGGTATTAAACCCTACAGGATAAGGCAGGGAAGGGACCAATTTGTTATGACAGTTACTCAAATAAAAATCCCCTTAATAATGATAGTACAGATAATTTCTAAGTTGTTGTCAATTATTTCAACTTTTTTTACAAATTAGATAGATGAGTACGCAACTGAGAAAGAAAAAAGTTAGAGTTGAATTAGATGTTATATGATACTTTTATACAATTCATATATTTTATATTGTTTTGTTCCTGAAATATTTGGATTTTAATTCTATTACATATAATTTACCACTAAACACTTTACATCTTATAAAATTTTTTATTTCATATGCATGTAAATTTGTTACTTCATAATTCCCTAGAAAGTTAATATGTCATCATTTAACATATTATTTGGATATTATATAAAAAATTAATTTTAATTATTATTTTAACTTTACAAATTTTTTAGATTTTGAAACTTACACCTCAAAACGCCTTGACGCTTATGCCTCACCTCACGAACAAAAAATGCCTCAATATCCAATTGCGCAATTTTAAACCTTGGATCAAGTACCATACTAATTTAATTGTGAAAGCAGAGAGGATAAAATATGCATCTTAAAGTTATTCTGAATTTTATAGCTAACATATCGATGGATAAATTATCAATGTTGATAGGTACATTAGTGAAAACTGTATAGTTAATAATCACAATAGAATAGCATCAATGGTCAACATTAAATTACTCTCTTTTGTACACTTTATGAGAAATACCAGCGAAAAATAATCGAAATAGGTACCTTGATGTAAATTATTGATAGGTGGAACAATCGAAATAGGTACCTTGATGTAAATTATTGATAGGTGGAACAACTTATAAAGTCAAAAAAAGTTATAATAATGAAAAAATAGAATATAAGAGTCTTATAATAGGAAAAAGAGGTGAATCTGCTATCTAATTTTATAGAGAATAAAAATTGGAAATTATCAATCTATTTTATTAGAAGATCAAGTGATAGAGAGGAAAGATAAATTATCCATCTATTTTATTAGAAGATCAAGTGATAGAGAGGAGAGATAAGATTAAGTATCCTAAATCTATTAAACAAAAACATGGGAATATGATGAGGTCATCGACAGACATTTTAGGCAAGTCTACCGACGAAGGAATCGTAGATCGCTGGCTATGATTGGGAGCTTATATTTCTGATGTTTCCATTTCATCTTATGTTATTTTCTATGTATCTTTTATTTCAAGCCTTAGTTTACTATTTTGCCCTTATGAAGGTTTAGTCTTTGTTGTAGCCCGGTAGGCATTTGAGTCGTGTTATTTTCTGAGGCCTTTATAAAGAGGTCTCCTCCTATTGTATGAGCTTAATGTTGGATTAATAAAAATTCTGAGATTTTCATTCTTCTTTTCTTGCTTGAGAGCTTGAGAGAAAGTGAGGAGACCAAGGAGAGGCTCCACTCGAAATACCCAACAGCCACAGTGGTGAGCTCTTGGCTTTACTTTTATGTTTGTTGTTTTCTTCTCTCCCTACCATCTCCCTGTACACCTGCCCGGCCGCCCCCCCTACCCTTGCAGCCGATCCATCCCTTTTCCCCAGAACCCGCCGATTTCCCCCCCTTCATCCCTTTTGTCGCCGACCAAGCCAGCAGCCGGCCCACCCAGGTCCCGCCATCCACCCCAAGCCCAGCCCTCTTCCACTGGAGAAATCCTGCCGCCCCCTCCCTCTTTGAAATTTGAATTTTCACGATAAACACCCTCATGAATTCTTTCCTAAATTGCTTACCACAATTAAGAACGAATTTAATTGAGACCCAACTTCGTTTGAATTCAAATTTCGAATTCCCCTCTTCTTTTCTCCATTAGGAAACCTTCCCTAATTAATTAAAATCTGAAATTTAAAAATCAGATTTTAATTAACTCCGTGGGTCCCATTAATTAACCAAATTTCCCCTCTATTCTCCTTGCTTGGCCGACCACCCATGCTAGCATACTCTCTCTCTCCTTGCCACCTAAGCACCCACTAATTACCCTCTTAATTTTCCCCTAATAGCCACCCCCTCTTTAATATAATTTAGGGAGACTAATAACCTCTCCCTCCAATCCATGAAAATCTGAAATTCAAATTCAGATTTTCCCCAAGTCTCTCCCTAGCTTACGGCTCAACTCTTCCTTTCTTTTCTTCTTCCCGTCCCCTTCTCAATGTTGAATGGCGGATCCCGAATTTGAGTGGGGGCTTGTGTTCAATGCCAACGGTAGTCTCAACATCCTACGATCCCCATTCTTCGACGCGGGGTTTGAGCACGAAGACACAGTTGGTGAATACTTTGAGCGAATTCTCCCATCACTTGTGCACGTCATCGATCGCCAATTTCAAGACTACATTTGGACAATCACCGGGCGTCATCCACCACCTCCTCCACCGGCGGCTACCTCTCTGGTAACAAAGTCCTTCGTCTGCTTTTCCGTAGTGGTGCTCTCCATCTTCGCGTGGTTCTTTCTTCTCCGCTAAAAACCAAAGAGTGATTGAGTGAGAAGGTGCTCGAGGTGAATTTTCTCATTATTAATCGTGAATTTTGTTATGAGCATTTAAGTAGTTCTTTTATCTTTGAATGTTTATGAATTGTTTGGTCACCTCAAAGCAACTCTTCGCCTAAGCAAGTTGATTACCTAGAATACACTTAATCCTTTATTTTATTGGTGATAAATTTGTGTTGGCAACGCTTTAATTACTTTCATCTTAATTTCCGCAAGCAACTCCTGTTTGATTCACATCAGAATATCAATGAGGCCATAACTTCTGAGGTTGAAGTTAGGCAGTTAAAATGGAAAAGTGCCTTGAGACCTACCAGACAATAAGAGAATAGCATATAGTTAATAGTAAATATTATAAAATTGCAATTAGACCTATACTATATGAAGTTTAATAACATGCAATATATAAGTTGATGATAGTGTAGTTAAGCATGGCACAAATAATAATTTTGACAAGGATGAGCGATTAAACTCAAAAGAATAAGAGAAAAATGATTATATAATAAAGGCATTAAGAGCGGTATTTGTAATTAATAAGAGTTTGGAAGACATAAATAAGTAAAAACTAGGAAGCAAAAAAACCTATAAAAAGTTAGCATTGAAACAGTTGTGTTAAAAAGATTAATGCAAAATAAAGATGACGCCTTCTGCTAAATTTGCCTACCTAAATAGTTGGGAGTGAAAAGGAGGAAGTGGAGATAAATAACGCTAGGAAATAATTCAGAATATATGGTTACAAATTATTTTGTTGACCTCACACAAATAAAATTGCACTCCTTACAACACCAGTTAAAGTTTGTGAACAAAAAGAAAATAATTTAAGATTAATAGAAGAGCATAGCAGAAGGTTTGGCAATTGAATATCAAGTCATGTCAAAGCACAAAAGTTTACAATGCAGAAGGTACGAATTCTCAAGGGTTAAAACAACACTTAAATGCAGAATACTAAGAACGAGAAGTTACAATTGTAGGGCTTTAAGGAAATAAGCTCTAGTCTAGCTCTAATGCTTAAATTTGATAGTAACTACAATATCAAGCCATATTACTCTCTCTCCTCATCTTCACTTTTTCTCTAGACCATAGGAATTAAACATAACAATCAGAGGTAGCAGGGGAAATTTCTTCTATTCGAATATACACGTGCAGACAATTATATAAACCAGCATACAAGTTTCACATCTATCTGTAACATGACTGTATTCTTTTCTATGAGTTAGAATGTGGATGGGGATGCAAACATTCCTTAGGAGTGTGAAGGATATAAATATTTATATGCAGATACCTCTAAAAATGTATGTAAAAAAAAAACTTAAATAAGCCATTTTTCTTTTAACAATAGAGTTTGTGATCTTCTGGGAGCCTTCTATTGGCACTGGAAAAAAAAAAGAGTTTCATCTTATCACCTTCATTAAGCCAGGTACCTTCTTTGTGAGATTCAGTTCTAAAGAAGTTCTCAATTCTTTAGTTAAAAGAGGTTGCATCAAACTCAGTGGGTTTAATATCTTGAAGAAAAAAATGGGATGAAAGCATGAGGTGTTCAAAAGGACATTAATCTAATAAGTACCAAATGGCTGAACCATAAGAAAACATGTATAGTAGTAAGGGAAAATACCACAGCAATTTCCAAGGCAAATAGGAAATAAAGAATATAAATACACAATCCCTCATCAGTCCAATAGCAAGACAAGAAAATCTTTAGCAGATGGCAAAGATGATATTGATTCTCAAGCTAACATATCATCATCCCTAGAGGGAACAATGGGGTGTACTATTGCATGATTACTATAATAAGCAAGCAGGCTGAGTCTTTACACAAAACCTAAGAGAAGTCAGTACCATAACAGCTTCACGAACTTTGCACAATTTATCGTGTTTGTACTGGTGTTGTAAGGAATGCAATTTTATTTGAGTGAGGTCAACAAAATAACTCGTAAACATGATAAAAACATATTTTGTGCAAATTAGCAACTTTTAAACATAATAAAACATATTTTCTTCTATCGTCTTCTTGTAGCTAACATTGCCCTATACCACAGAAATAACTATAAGAGTTGCTCTAAAACATACAGAGATGATGGAAGATTTTCAAACTGACGCACTTTAAAAAATGTTTATGCTTAGGTATCCAGGGAAAAATAAATAAAAAAGATATATGAGTGGATGGAATAGCTTAAGAAGATCAATTGTGATCTTTCATCCACTAATAATCTCTGAACCTATTCAGTAATACTTAAACAAAAACGACCTGCATTTTATGAGAATGCGAACAAGTGCATTCAGTCTAAACAATTAAAATCATTTCAATTTCAACCTAAAATTTGCAAAGTGAATCGAAAAGTTATAAAAAAAAAAAAACTGCTCATAATTGCAAGATCCAAAATTAGAAACAAATAATGATTTCAATGTCGCATAGGAAGGGACATTTGGTAGCAAGCATAAGAGGAAGATAGCTTAGAATCAGTAGCCAATAAAAGATTCTTCTTCAGTAAGTATAGATTACACTAAGAAATCATTAAATTCCATGACCTCCGATCTAATTAGTACCAAACATCTTAGCATAATGTTTATACAAGACATGTATAAGTAAGGGAAAATAGCGCAGCAATTCACAAAAGTAAGTGATTAACATATGCTTGCTTAAAATTATTTAAATAAACTAGAATTATGCCATTGTGGTTACTAGCTGGAATAAAAGGCATAGAATGCACGTTGGGAAGATAATGATTGGACTTGGATGAATTTCCATACAGTTCTAGGATGGTCAGGGTTTGCTGGAAGTTACTTTTGTACTTTCTAGCTCCATGTGATTGATATAGATGAAATAATAAAATGATGTAACCTCAAAGTTTTTCATTAAAACCAACATTTGTCATTTCTTTTTTTACTTTTGGATAGGTTCTGATTCTGAGTTCAAGGAATCAGTTTATTTTGATTTTTTCTCTCTTTTGGATAGGTTCTATTTTTTATTCAAGAGCTAGATACGGCGCCTTCATCTCGTCAGAAAAATCTACAGCAATCTCATCAGGAGATGAGCATTTTCAACTATGAGTTGTATTTTTTTATATCTTAACCTTGCTTACATTACTTTTTTATATCTTTAACTATGATAATTCCAAGACAATTCAAGAATAAAGAATATAAATGACATAACCTCTTCACTACAGCAAAATATCAGTACTATAAAAATAAAAATAAAAATAAAAACAAATTGAAGAGATGAGACAAAATACCATTAAAAAGAAAACTATAAGAGAAATGCTAGAACAAAGCTCTGGCAACTCTGGTTTCATATCAATTTTGTATAGTCCAATGAAATCAGCAACTGTAATTGCCATAGCTGGGAGCTTAAGCGGCAGTTGGTATGTACAAAACAGAAAAATGCTAAAGCACGCATAAAATAGAAGAATCCTCCACCACCTTTCAATTAAAAAAAAAAGAGGTCAGTGAAGATTAAAGTCTGCTGTAAAAAATCCATTAAAACAGATAAAAATCTATAAGAAAAACAGCACAATTACATGAATGATAAGTAAAAAATAAAACCTCAAAGCTTACCGAAAAAGGCCAAGAAAGTTGCTTGTAAGCGACCAATCAACAAGACCAACACAGCTGCAAACAAAGAATGGAAGAAAAATCCACGAGGGATGGCTGATTCCAACAACTAGCTGGATGGCAGGCAGCAGTAAGCAGCACGCAATCCTTATGGGAGAACCTTCAGTGTTGAACAAAGATAAAAAACACAACATTAGAAAAAACTTAAAAAAAAGTTGTTAGGCTAAGAAGGTTTAAGAAAAGATCTGGATGCTTTTCATATGTACAGATAAAGATCACATAGAATCTTAAGTTTGACAGTATAATTGCTACTAGTAGAATTTATCCTTTTTAGAGGCTAAAAACAAACTGCAGAGAACTGATAGCAACATGACAAAGAGAAAGAGAGAAGAAATTTTATGTAACCAAATTCATATGACAACTCCACAATCATTAACATTAACTCTACCTTTGCCGCCTACTAGAAGTTTCTTCTTGACCCTATTACATAAGCCCCAACCATCTCAATTTGTTTCTATTTCTCACTAATAGATATTAAACCGGTTTTTTCACATAGTCAATCCTTTTTAACATGACTATTACAAACATCAACATGACAATGTTCACTTGTTTATAGAATAAAACAGCACAACAAACAGCAAAATGTACCAGCAATTACTCTCCATATTAAGTTTAATCACCCACTTTAATACTTCAGATTACACGCTCTTCATTCCAATAAATTTTGAAATAATATTCCAGAAAAGCTTTGGAAACCTGCTCATTTAGATTGATTGACCCATAGCAAGGGATGAGTATGATCACATCTTTGTTCTAACCTAATCGTCCATATCAACTTAGTCCTTTTTGTCCTATTGGTTTACAATTCCAATTCATGATGTAGCATGCTCAAGCCAATGCAAAGGCCAAAGGGTAGAATTACAGGCAAAAGCATGGGAGAGAATATTATCCTTTGTTCCTCGGCGCCAAAATTGTACACATCATAGCACAAAGTGTTATTAACATAAAATGTGATTAAACAACACATACAACGATACTAAATTCCCAAGTGTTATTATACCTTAATTATTTATAGATTAAACATCAAAAAGGCATAAGCAGAAGTTGTTCTTACCTAAGAAAATGAAGAAATAATGAACTTATAGGTTGAAAAAAACAAACCAAAACAAAATTCCACAAGTTAACTATCCATCCAAAATATGGAGAAATAGTAAATAATGAAACAAATATTGACAATTTACACAAACAAATCTACAGGATTCCAACCTATTTGCTCAACAGTAGATGAGAAGTTTGACCAACAAGAACCTCGATCATTACTGCTTCCATGAACTTCAACAAAAGCAATAAGCCCAACAGAGAGTTGTATAACTATAAAGAAAATTACAGATCTCGATCCCATTGGTTGAATCCTGCAGAGAAGGTTTGAAATATCAGGTATTTAAAAAGAATGTTAAAGCCAAGGATACAATAAATTCCCTGAGTGATAAACATTATCAAGAAGGGAAAAAGAAACAAGTTCGAGATGGCCATATCATAGAAAAATTAGACCCTACTTAAAGGAGTAGCACTACGCGACATGGATGTGATAAAGACAGTTTTCAAATAATAAAACTAATGTACAAATGAAAACTTAGCTAAGGGTAGGTCAAAAATTATCATGCCTTGGATAATGCATAAATAAATGCCCATTAAGACATTATCAGCAATAAATATTCAACATTTACTTTGGGTTTCATGACATTTTAATATCAAAAGCTAATATTACAGTCAAGGATTTGCTTTAAAACGTTTTCCTTGACACTAGGAAATTTAATTAAGCCATTTACTATATGAGATTAGTAAAAATTTTAAGAACCAACTGAAATTTCATAATAATAAATAAAAATAGATGAAAATGAGCACAATGCCAAAGCTCTTTGTTGTTATATAATTAATAAAGAAAATGCACAATAGAAATACTAATAAAAGCGTTTTGCCAAAAGGGATGAATACTTAATTGACATTATGAAGTTTGGTAAAGATGAGATCAAGAATTTAAACATATCATGATAGAATCAAAGGTTTACCTGATTGCAAAATAAATTATGCATGGAAAATACTGAAATATCTTGAAGAGTTATTTAGCTAAAATTATAGAATTTTAAAATATTAGGTAAAAAAGGAAAAAAAAATTCAATCAAAGATAAATTTTGTATAAAAATGGCATTCATAACAAAGCAATTTGGTTTAATTTAATAAATAAGGAAACGTCTGGATAGAGACAAATATAGGATGTCATAAATAAAAATATTAATACAGCGTATCGGTACATTTAAGGCATTCTGCTAAATTCTCATTGAAAAAAGCAGATAGATCCATGGCTATGATTCATAAATGGGCAGCATGAGACGCGGTTTAGAAAAATAAAAAGAGAGCTTGAGTGAAATAAAATAAAATTCAGATATAAAACATTAGCAATCTATTTTTAGATAACTTAAGCAAATTGCAAAATCCAATAGATAAAATTACAAAACAAGGGATTCTGAGAAAGGATTAGCATGTAATCAAATAAGTTTTGACAAGAGAAATATATTTTGGACATTTAAATGATCAAAAAGTATAAACCTTGAGAATTTATTCAAAAAACAAATCTATAACAAGAAAAGAAGCCCAGGATACTGATATTGAAGTAAGAAATCAAAATTATTGTAGAAAATCTACAATAAGTTAGTTTAAGTACTTTTTTTCCCATAAGAAGATTTGGAATCATACGTCAAGATTGATTAAAATTTTATGACAGAAAATGGGACTATTAATATAAGTAGGTAAATATTTAATAAATGTCTAAAACTAATGCTAAATATTTCATAACTAATTTAAGCACTTTAAATGGTTTAGATTAGATTTCCACACCAAATGGGTACGAATTTGTATATTTTGTTAAATGTATAGAAAATGATCTAAGTATAAATAAAAGGATTGAACAAATTTATTGCCAGTCCCACATCATTTCCATCTAGATGATTTATTTCATGGAAAAGCTGGGAAGAGTCTGCTGATCATGACTTTGGCTTATAAATCAGTCAAGTCTAGGTTAAAGCAAATTTTTCTGATTTAGCTAATTAATTAGACTAATAAGAGATCATCTAAGCAGACTATCCAATTAAAAAACACCAATTGATTAGAGATAAACTAATTATTAGGATATTAAACTAAATTAATTATTAAGTTAATCGGTTATTAATTGTATAAATAAGTCACTATTTAATAACTAGAAATAATAAATATCAAATTATATTGTTAAACAATAGCCGGTTCTCAAGGCGATGGAGTGAGGTGATGCAAAGCCATGAGCAATACATGTCATAGATAAGCTCCTTACTTTTTAATACGTCAAGTAGAAAGGCAAACAACCTGACTTGATTGGAGAGACAAATGTTAATAGCACAAACATGAAAGATATGTTAGTTTTGTTGATATCTTAACATTGAGTTATGTGAAAAGAGTATTAATAGTTGGATGAATAAAAATGCAAATGACAAAACTAGTTGGAACAAATGTAGTATACTGAGGGGCTGTTCGGTATGCAGAATTAGGAGGGTAAAGTAAAACAATTACATGTATTTACTAAATTCGGTTGTTTGGTTAATTTTGAGCGGAACAAATGGAATCTCTGTGAAGCATTAGGCGTGTATTAGGAGGCGTGTTTCATGCGTATTAGAAACCCTCTCATATTGAGCGGGTTATAAATTCATTCGATGAAGAAATCCTTAGCATGGTTGTTGTTGTTCGGCTTCATTGCTTCGCAGGAGGTGTAAGATTGCACAAGTGGCTTCTTCGGCTCCTTCGCTCTTGTGCCACTTCGCTACTTCGACGACGTTCCCTTTGCCTGTCGGATCGGAAGTTGCGACATTTTCATCGGAAGTAAGGACAGGAGCTCGCAAGTTCTGATGGTAACTTTCTCGCTTTCGCGCGCTTCTTCGGCCAAATCCCTTCAATCCTTAGAACTACAGGATTTGGTAAAAAATCCCATATTTTTTCCTCGGTACTTACTCAGCACAAGAATCGAGAAGGCGATCGATGTCTACCCTCCTGTTGCTGCTTCTTGGCCTGCCTCCTCTCACTCCACCGTTCGTCCATCTCGGCAACGAAGGCCTTGGTTTCTGTGTCAATATCACCGGCGGTGATGGCAGGTGAGGACGAGAGGAAGTTAACAATGGCCTCCCATGGAGCGCGGTCCTTGGCCAAGAGATCGTCAGGGAGCCAAGCTGTCTCCCACGTGTCATTCCATTCGTCTTCCCCCGACGGCGTCGCTCTGCCTCTCGACGAGAAAGGTCAGAGTCTTGAATGATTGTCAACTACAGCTTGAAATGGATGATAACAGTTATCATCCATGGAAATGTAGTCTCCACTACGCGCCTTATTTACAGATCATAAATGTGATCATTATGATCAAACACACTTAAAGCTGTAGTTTGACTACATTATGATCTGTACTACATTATGATCTTTTGAATTGAAACGTAAGTCTCAACTACGCGCTTTATCCTTTCATCTGTAAATCATTATGATCTGTAAACTACAACTTGAAAAGGATGATAACAGTTAGCTTCAAGTTAGCATAGGAACTTTCAGGAAATACTGCTAAATTAAATTTTCATTAATGTTGTTTACATCTTATGAATAAAAATCATGTGATTAATTGATTGCTAAACAAAAAAAAAAAATGATTATATTGCTAAATTAAAGAAAGAAATCAGTGTGGAATTGTGGATCAAGTTCTGTTTGCGACACAATTTGCTTGCAGGTTAAATTATCATCAACACATATGGTTAAATTATCCAGCAGGTGTGTGAATTATTAATCCCTTCATCCAACTCTTTAAATTTCATAATTTATCTCTGATTATGCCTTGCAGAGAAGGAAGGAAAGTTGGTTTATCCCGACCAAATTGGCTTCCAATCTTTCTATTAGCTTGTCAGATTCATCTTCACGCAGCCAGGTTTGGCTCTTTCTTTTCACATACTTTGAAAACATACAAGTAGATGAAACTTCTTAAAATAAGAGTCCAAGTTGAAGTTACTAATAACGAGGGCATACAAAATTGTTGTATTTGGTCACAATGTATTCTTTGGACCGTCCAAAATTGTACATGTATATTTTTGGTTCATCATATCGTATGATATTTTAATTTTTATTGAAGAACGCTCCTTTAAGAAGTAGTAAGAAAGCCGTCCCAAATGAATCCTAAATAACTGTAGCTGAACTGATGCCAAACTAGAAAGTTGCAATGGAAGTCATATGTTCAGCTTTTCGGCAGCAGGATGATGTAGGGTCAAGGAAGAAACTTTGCTTACTCGGTCTAGAGCAATCCTATAGAACTTTTTAATCCCATCCAAACCAACCAATTTTAAAATTAAAACTATTCTAATCCTATAGAAGATAACACCTAATAATTAAATTCGAACTTTAAGAAGAAATAGAATAACTTGGTTTGTAACAAGTGGGTTCCAAACCAAGGTTTAAGTTTAAGGTTCGTGCTGCTTGTGGCTCTCATAGTTTTTTGTTTATGTTGTCATAATTAAGCAAGGCAGGTTCAAGAGCAGGTTTGATTCCTATGCTGGGTTCATGTGATTGATTGAATTTTTCATGCATTCTATTGATACTTTAAGATGTTTTAAAACTTACGTTTGAGTTGTTTGCCCTCATTTATGCTTTAGCTTTTAGGTTGGAAATTGATTTGGCCAGTGATGAATCGCAAAATCATTAAATTAACATTGAGATAAATGAAATATAAATTTTAATTAATTTTTTAGGTATTTCAGTTGGATTACATCAAGGATCAGCCTTTAAGCCCATATATTTTTTCTTTAGTCATGGCACTAGAAATTTGCAAGAAGTTGTACCCTGGTGTATGCTTTTTACTGATGATATTCTTCGTGTTGATAAGACTAGAGACGGAGTTGAAGGTAAACTTGAATTATGAAGGTCAACCTTAGAGTCTAAAGGATTTCGTTTGAATAGATTTAAAACTAAATATATGGAGTGCAAATTTTAGTAAGTAGTAAGTTCTTGTGGGGGGATTGTGACTTTGGGTGATCGAGTCATTAATAAGAGTACACGTCTTAGTTATCTTAGGTCTATTGTTCAGAGTGATGGTGAAATAGATGGGGATATTAATGGTAGAATTTAAGTTGGATGATTGAAGTGGAGGAATGCATCGTGCTTGTTGTGTGATAGAAAAGTCCCCCTCAAACTTAAGGTAAAATTCTATAAGATGGTGGTTAGACCTGCAATGCTTTATGGTGCAAAATGTTGGCCATTAAAAGAGAAGCATAATATTAATTTAAGTGTTGTAGAGATGAGGATGCTCAGGTGGATGAGTGGCTTTACTCTTAGAGATAGGATACGAAATGATCATATACGTGAAAAGGTTGGAATAGCTTCAGTGGAAGAAAAGATTAGAGAGAGTCGCCTTAGATGGTTTGGTCATATAAAACGGTGGCCTTCCAATCACCCAATTAGGAAAGTAGATGTATTAGATTTGACTTGTGTTAAGAAAGGCAGAGGTATATCTAAAAAGACTTGGTTAGAAACTATTAGAAATGACATTTCTTTATTAGATTTAAATGAGAATTTCACTTTTAACAATGTACAATGGAGAAAAAGGATTCATGCAGCCGACCCCACATAGTGGGATAAAGGCTTGATGTTGTTGATGTTGTTGTTGCACTCATCCCAAAGAAATTTTAACCCATTGAGATTCTTCCTAACAACATCTTGTCCCAAATTTTGTTCCCTCTTTAAAGCCTCTCCATATTCATTATTCCTTATTTCATCTACAACTCCTTCTCCTCTTCTCCCTCTCACATTTCATGACTTTTTCCCTCCTCCTTTACATAACCATTTGGAGGTTAGCTAGTGTGTCTAGTTAGGAATTTTCATTGCACAAAGACACCACGACCCATTGTTGTTCTTAATCAAAGACACGTCAGGCGTAATAAAATCATAATCATAGCAACAATTTTGGCATCAAATGAAATAGCATAAAAGGATGGTAAGAAAGATGTTGACTATATTAACATGGTCAAAAATTTTTTTTTTTTTTTTTAAAAGGGAGAAGTCATATGAAGATAACAACCAAGCTTAAACAAAAGTCCTCAAGATTATCACAAGAAAAAAAAACAATTGTGTTGAACATTTGCTTAGCTAATAAAGAAACTACATCAACATCAAGATTTTAGCAAATAAAGAAACTTGTTAAATTATCTGTAACATTAGTTTTGAGATTCAAGGATATAAACAAAAAATTTATAATCCAAAGCAGGAATCCTTTTCTTACCTCACAAAACCGATTACCTTTGCCCACCAAGTATCAGCTACCTTCCAGTCATTTCCTTCAATGCACCAAATACTACTGAAAATGATCTGAGCTACTATAGCAATAAATGAAAAGAAAATTGTACACCACAATAAAATATACACCCTCCAAGAATTGGATCCTGAAGAAAAGGGAATCATAAAATAACATTACAAAAGCAGAATTAGGATTGAAAAAAAAAATTCCAAGATGATATACAACAAAATATAAAAAACTTATAAAGAACAAGACTAGCATAAAATAAATAAATATTTTATGAAATAGGAAGCTTTCTAGTGATTAAGATTTTTAAGCATAACTAATGAAAGTCTTAACGGAAACCAATAAATGCTAAAGGTGAAAAGGCATTACCTTTATGCTGACACTTCTCAACAATAGTCAGAGTCCCAATTCAAAGATGAAAAATAGAAACTCTTAGTTAACACATGTTATAATGCCATTTTGCGAAGACCAACAATAATTGGACATGATTATAAAGTTTTTTCCTCCTGCAATAAGCTAAACAAAATTATCATATTCTTGAAAGGCTAAACTTTCAATGTTACTAATTAGCAGCAGCATTTGTCCCAACAGGCAACATCATTAAGCATACCTTAACTAAATGGGTCAACCATTTGAATCCTTCCTCACTACTTTCATCTAAACTGCTGCTAGAGGTGCTAACCCTAGTTTAGTAGTGAATCATTATCCACCCCTTTATTTGACAATAACTATGATCGTTCCTTTTCTCCATGTTCCTTCCACATTATTTACAACTCCTCATCCAATGTTTTGATTGTTATTTGTTGGTCCTATCTTCTACTCTTTGTGGTGATTGCCCAAACCTAAGTATATCATCAATATAAAAAGAGCTAAGATAAATAGAATCTCACAAAAATAAATAAACATACATATACAAAAAAAAATTAAAGTACCGAGACTGAAAAAATGGCTGGTAGGAAGAGGACAAAAGAGAAACGGGAGGCAAGTGAGAGCGAAAGCGATAAGGTCTAAAAATTTTAGGCATTCACCACAATTGGTATCAATTTTGGAAATGCCAACCACATTCATGCTATGCTTTGTACCGATCTGCATATTCAAACCATGAACACACAAGCATTGCCACCATTATAGTACTTAAATCCATGATCAACCCCCCCACTGCCCCACATAAAATGTGCAAGAAATAAGTTGGAATGACAACCACTGATAAGGACATCAGAGCATGGAAAGTGTATCAGAGGCGTGGCGTCGATCTACGGCCACGATCGAGTCGATATACTTTTGAGTCATTTCATGTATTTGTTTTTATTATGTTATTTGTCTCTTGTTATTTATGTTGTATTTGTTTTCCCATTTTTACCCCTTACTTAAGGGAGGTCATATGTAAGCCCTGAGGGCATTGTCGTCTTTCTTATTTTGAGTCTTATGGACGAGGCTATTTATAGCCCCTATGTTTCTCTTTGAAAGTTTAATGAATGAATGATTGATAAAATTTTCCCCTTGCTAGATTTCTTTGTGAGATCTTGAGAGTGTTTGAGAGATGAATCCCTAGGAGAGGGAAAATAGATCACCAACCAACCTTAGAGAATGTCGGGTTCGTGGTTCTACCTTCTCTATCATTTTTCCCTCCTCCTTCCTCCCTTAATTAGCCGCCGGCCTTGAAGTCCATCCCACCCCCTTAAGTTGTCAGCCACCACACAACTACCACTAGCCATCGGGTAACCTCAACTCCACCTCCACCCTCATCCGACAAACCCAACCTCACATCACCCCAGCAAAATTTCCCCCTCTCAAGCCCACCAAGCCGCCGGCCTCATCTCCCTCCTCCTCCCTCCAAAGTTCAAATCACTACTTGAATACTTTCCATAAATGACTATTCTAAATTTGAGAAGACTTACTTTCAAATTTCAAAGCAATTTGAATTTTAAAATTTTCTTTCCTAATTTAAGAAATCTATTTTAGGAAAGTTTCTAAATTAAAGCCTATTTGAATTTCAAATTCATTTGGATTTAATTAAAACATTTCCTAATTCCTAAACCCAAATTAAGAAACCTTTAATCCCTCTCATCAATCCCCTCCAAGTCCATCAATGCCGCCAGCCCCTCTAGGATTGGATTAGGAATTCTTTCCTAAAACCTAATTCCCCACTTTGGAAACAATTCCATACTTCTCTCTCTCGCTTGGCCGAAACTCCCAAGGGCCCACCCACTTAATTCCTTCCCAAAATTAAGCTTCCCCCCTTGGAATTAAATCCCAAATTCTGTCCTACTCTACCCGCCCCCTCTCTCTTACCCCATATTCTATTTAAATTATTTCCAAACCTAGAGAATTGATTTGGAAATTAATTTCAGCTTTCCCTCCATAATCCTCTTCTCAAAATCTGAACTTAATCTTCCCCTAGTCTTCCCCCTTGGCCGGCCACCCTCACTTGCCACTTCCTACTTTGATTCTTGAAAGAAACCTCTCTCTTTCAAGGGGAAACGGCAAGGACAGCAAAGGATCATTACTTTCAACACTTCAATGCTTGGGAAAGACTTTTTCCTCTCCAGTTGAACCTTCAAGGTAAGCTACGACGAACTTCTTCAACATCTCGCCTACTTGTTTCCGGGTTTTGATAAAGGTGAACTTCTTTTCCTTTTTAATTACCTTCCTAATCCCCTAACCTTGTAGGTGATGATGAATCAAAAGGAGCTGTGCTTCGCCTTATGCCTAAGCTTAGTAAAAGTAGGATTGAGCATGCTTTCTATGCTTCTAATCTTATTGTTAGATTAGGAATTTTATTGAAAACTATTTACTCTGCATGTTGAATTTCTAACTTATTTTGATTTTCAAAGTGCTTGGCAAGGGGCCTAGCCTAAACGTAGGCACCACCCTCTTGTTTTCTATTGTCGTTTTGATTGCTAAAACTTTTAATCTTACTTGCTTAATTCAAGAAATCGTGCAATTCTTAACAAATTCATTTAACACATGTTAGTCCTGCACCAACCACACAAACCAGGTAGTTGATAGCAAACTCAATGCTTGCTTCTGTTTAGCTCCTAAGGGAGAACGATGTTTCAAAGCCTAATAATACTACGAACTAAAGTATGAAAAGCTTCAACACTAAATGAAGCACATAGCCTCAGCTAATAAGATGGATGAAAAGGAAGCTATTGCATACTCAAAAAGAAAAAAACAATCTATATGTTTCACGAATGCTTCACTTCAAAGGAAAATTCACATACCTCTGTTTGCAGCACTCAACTGAATAGCCAAAAAGATCAATAAATTGGTAAGAGAGATCAAACTCCAATCAAGTAAAGAAGCTGCAAATTTAATAAGTGAAATAAAAAATAATGGATCGAATAGTTTAATAAGCATAAATGATGTAGAGCCAATCAATAAATGAATTCTGGTAGATAAATCACAATTAAAGAAAAAAAAGACGCTCAACCCTGAAGTAATAGAAATGAGCTTTTTATCTCCCTAAGTCACATGTAGATAATTTCATGTAATACTTCTCCGTATATTGCTAACCTTTTTAGAAAATCAGCATGGTTAATGTTTTTTTTAGTTTAAGTCATTGAGATCGTCCAGTACAAAAAGGTGTAGCATCCAATTCACTCAAATATATCATTATTGGGAATTTTGGATTATAAAATTAGGTTTAGTGCTGTATAAAAACGCATGAACCTTTTTTCCATGATTTTCATGAGTTAGATATGCACTTCATAAAGGAGAAGAAATCTCAAATTTTAGAATCACATTCTAACCATAAAACAGTCATCTTGTATTTTTTTTAAAAAAAATATTTTTTCCAACAAAAAATACATCATCCTTTGAACATTAAATTTCATATCACTGGCATATTAAACAGCAAACAAAAAGAGGCCGGAAATCCAATAGGTATCCATCTCAAGTGGTATGATAAAAATAGGGAAATTCACCACTCTTCTCTATGATGGAAAAAACATTTTTGTTGCATAAACATAAGGTGTGAAATCCTCCAAGAAAAAACACTGGCTAGCTAAAAATTCATCAATAATTAGGTAGCTCAAAACCATGATATTTAAGTGTTTCTATTGCAATGTGCAAAAATACATTGATTTGAACTTGCAATACGTGCAAAAATACATTATCCTTTAAATATCGAATAAAACTCATTGATTTGAAGTGTAAAATGTTTTTACAAAATATATTGTACAATAAGTTCACAAATTCTTACAAGGGGAAGTAAATATTTCATGCTAGTTAAAGATGAATTTCATATTTCTAATGGCTATTCCAACAAACAACAGTAGAGTCAACAAACTTTTTTTTTTTTTTTTTTGTAATAGATGCTATTCAAGGTCAACTTAATTTAAAAAAAATAAATAATATATATATATATATATAATATATACTGTATAATAAAAATATATATATATATATATATATATATATTGTGCAAAATGAGAAGACATAAGATGTAATAAAACAAATAGATATGAAAAAATTGGTAAAGACGGAATAAGAGGGTATTCATACAAGTTCTGGCAACAGGCTCATATATAGATATTTATTATGATAGAAGAATGAGTATCTCTTGTGAAATATAATCAACTATGATTTAGAACTATGACCACAGAGATCCTAAGTAAACCAATTTAAGGCAAAATAAGTACATTAGGTGCCTATAGCGCCAAAACACCAAGAACCATCTTAATAAGAAGTACACCTCTCATAACTTAACACAAAACAATATTGTACAATGAATAGTGAGGTGATTTCATATTGCCACCGACGATAGGTAAAAGTGCTGAGCTGAAGAGCATATCAGTTTGCTCCGCCAAATCAAATATACCAACAAATATATGAACTAATAAGACAAAATAAGATCCGGTTAGCTAGGTCCCATATGCTAACAAACGTATGAACTAATAAGACAAAAGTGAGGTCCAGTTAGCTAGGTCCCGCAGTTTTTTAACATTACAGTGAAGAGCATATCAGTAAAAACCAATGCAACGTTTTGGCATTTTAATTTAGTTAAATTTTGAAGGTGCAAACCGAAAGCAATACTTTTGGATGGTTAATTTGCTGCTATTTGGAATAACGTGTTATTTGGATTTCTGTGTTAATATTCACGAAAAGATTGATCTTGGTATAGATTAATACAACAAAACCTAAACATTGTATTCATAAATTCTACTAAAAAATGAATGTTTTTGCCAAATTTACAAAAACAAAAAGAAGTTAAAAAAAAAAGTGCTCCCAGGATTCAAATGTTGTATATACCATGCCTTAAGGTGGGTGAAAATATGGAAGAACAAATACCTCCAAGAAGAAGCAGAGGTAGGACGAACCCACCAAGAAAAGTTCCCATGAGTCTCCGCTCACCACGCAGTCCCCTTGCCATTGATTAATCACGGTACGGAAAACATGCACCAGCAAGCAAATCATCCACTTCCCCACTCAAATAACGTCCAAGTTATCGAATTTATCGTCATCAAAACCTGTCTGAAACCGAAAACCCCAGCCGCCCCGATCACGATTCACAGATATGGGAGGAAAAGAGGGCACAAATCGGTCTCCGATGTATCAATTTCAACCTGACGATCGGACAAAAATCCCAAAAGTGCGACTTTAAAAGCAAACCGACCACGAAAGCACCTCTTCGTCTTCATCCAAGCTCGCCAATCGCTGTCACGTCTCCGTGGAAATGGGGCAACCTACCCTTCTTCCATATTAGCAATTTCAGGGTACCAGAATGTTTGTATTTGGAATAAAGCATCTCTTTTCTTTTATTCAAAAATAAAAATTAGTCTACATCTTAAATAATATTTTTATTATTTTCTAAATTAACTTTTAATATAAAATTTTAATTTTAAAAAAGAGTTATCACAAATTTAATTTTAAAAATAGTAAAAAAATATTATCTCAAATGAAATCTTGGTATCATTTATTGTCTTGTTTAAGGGAATTTAATTTTATATATTGCTTATAATATATAAAATTAGGAACTATTTCACATTTTGTTTTTTTATGATATATGTTAAAAGTTTTCATTCGGAAAAAATATTTCAAAAATTAGAATAAATTCTCAACAATCATATAAGAGACATTTTGAGCAAGATGTTGCTCAACCCTTACAATTCTCGATAACCTCATTTTTGCACAATTGTTGTTTGAAAGTAATAATTATGCGACAAAATGTTGAGACAACGTGTTTATCTTCGTTGTTGGCTAGCTAATGATTTTAACTAATGATTGATAGTGTTATGCATTTGACAAAGTTTTTTTCTCCTATGACATTATATGTTTGCACTATTAAGTCTAAATCAAAATGACATTAGAAATCATATTTCCAATTTCAAATATTGATAATAGCTTCTTCTAACCATGATTGAAATGTGTTCAACTCATGATTGAATATTGTTCAAAGTTTAAATAAGTCTTATTTGTACTTCTACAAAAGGTCCAAACAATTCGATCTTGATTTGAAAATATTTCGATCGAAGGTCCAAACAACTTTTAGTTATTGTCCAATATTTTTCAAACAACTTCTAGTAAGATTGATCAATATTCAATCAAACTTCGAGCAAATGTTTTAATATATTATTTCCTACTTTACATATCTTTTGGAATTAGCCCATTTAAATTATCATGTTATGCATGTAAATGTCTGCTCTGATCATATTTATTGAGAGACACTATATTGTTTGTGTGACATGTACAATTAGTAGTGTGTTGAAGAACACAGTTAGACAATTTGAGGCATATTATATAATTGTACTAAAGATAAGAGAAAATGGCACAATATCTGCCTTTGCTTAATGTTGTGTTCATCATTAATTTAAAGAGCTACTAAAGTTCAATGCAAAAATGGCTATTTGATTAAATAATTATATATATATATATATATATATATACATTGCTCCTCCAATTTTCACATTGGTTGTTTAAACTTACAATTATAATTGAAAAATACATTATTATTGTTTGATTAGATTATTTTATATTATGTTGTCTCTACCTTTATAAACTGATATGTTGTGATTATTGTAATTGCATTATATTGTATTATATTACACTATTAAACAAAGTTAAACCATGTTCTGATACTATACAACCCTTATGCATGTAAGAACTCCTTAAAATTTAAAATACATGTTTTGACCTACAATAATCAAATAATAATTTAGAAGTCATTATAATTCTAATTTGCAAACTATCTTTGTCATGACATAAATATTTTTTTGCTCTAATTGCAATGATGTTACTCTAATTTTATGAGCATTGTAGATATAAAATCAAGAAGGCTTTTATTTAATTGTAATTCGTTAACAAATTGACGCACGTCGGTATAAGTGGGTTTCTGAGACTGTTAGGTGTCTGTTTTATGAATCATTTCATCAGTCTTCTAGACACAATTAGTTCATTTATAAATATTTTTCTATAATTTTTTATCCACATATTTGAAAATAGAAAATGATTTATAAAAACTTTATGCTAAAATTAAATAATTGGAATAATTATATTTATACCCTTATAATAAAAAACCTAATCCACTACATACATTTTCATATGTCTTTTCCCTTTCATTTTTATTCTAGCCAAAAAGGAAAATATTAAAAAATAGAATATAGAGAAGAGATCAGAAACTAAGGTTTGGAGATCGTATAATTATTTTTATTAGTCGGTCCAATTAGGAAAATTATTCGAATCAAGGTATGTTACATTTTGTCAATATCAGTTTTTAATAATTCGGTATTTTTGGATTTTTTATATCCAACTTATGATTTAGTTTTACAAAAATACAGTCTTATTGAATTGTGGTATATTTTATCCTTGTAACTTTTAATATGTTGTCGGTAAGTTCTTTCTAGTCATTTTGAGTATTTATTCGACGTTTTTCATCAATGTGATAATGTGATGAAATTCTAGAAACTTAGTTTTGACAAACTGTAAAGAACGAGGTGGAAATTTATTTGATAGACGTGAGAACACTTTTGTAGACTCATTGTCACGTGCCCCCGATCTAACTGAAAGAATATCATTTATATTCTTTTTTATATACAATATTCATTCATTTATCAACCGGATCAATATGGATATCCAGAGCTAATTAATCGCATTAAAGAAACCCACAACAACAACAACATCAAGCCTTTATCCCACTACGTGGGGTCGGCTACATGAATCCTTTTTCTCCATTTTGTCCTATTAAAAGCCAAATTCTCGTTTAAATCTAATAAAGAAAGGTCATTCCTAATATTTTCTAACCAAGTCTTTTTAGGTCTACCCCAACCTTTCTTAACACAAGTCAAATCTAATACCTCTACTCTCCTAACCGGGTCGTCGGAAGGCCGCCTTTTTATGTGACCAAACCATCTAAGGCGACTCTCTCTAATCTTATCTTCTACTGGAGCTACTCCAACCTTTTCACGTATATGCTCATTTCGTATCCTATCTCTAAGGGTAAAGCCACTCATCCATCTAAGCATCCTCATCTCTGCCACACTTAACTTAGTATTATGCTTCTCTTTTAGTGGCCAACATTCGGCACCATAAAGCATTGCAGACCTCACTACCATCTTATAGAATTTTCCCTTAAGTTTGTTAAAGAAACCCAATAAAATAAAAAATATATAATTCATATAACTATTGTTAATAATCATAATCTACAATGAGAGTCCAAAAAGGTATATATATATATATATATAAACTCAGCACATAACTAAAACTATATTAATATTTTTAATACAAGACAAAAGAATCAAAATATATGTTTATCGATATCAATTATCACTTAACATGAACAATAAAAATCTTAAAAAAACAATAATGAAATCAATATGATCAGTAAAGCTAAAAGTGATCTATTAATTATCAAATTATAAAGAAAAAAAAAAAGATTTTACCCAATAAATCATTTCAGTATCATATGCTATAGTATATTAATATTAATGTTAGAATGAGCTATAAGTCTGTCAATCAGTTTAATGCACTATCAGGTAAATATAATCATGAGTATAATTATATAAAGCAAGGAATGACTTTCAGCTTTGATGTGATATTTTTAACAACTTTATCCCAATTGTTTCTTACTATGACATCAGTCATATTAATTATCACTTATTCAATTATCATTACGATGTGACTTTCAATAATCATTAAGAGACATCTACATCTGCCCGTCGAAGTAATTCGGTCAATCGGTTACAAGCTACAATTATGATTACATCACTAATATTTTATTTAAAGGAAAGTCAGTCGGTATACCCTCCTGTGTAGGGTATTATATTTAGAAAGTCAAACTACATTCATTATAGTGCTAAAAGCTAGCTTTTTTTGCATGAAAGCAAATGTTATATTTTATATGCAATGTAAGTTAATATCATTATGGACCTACGAAAGGACACCACGCAGCGGCGGATTGAAGAGGGCATATGACCGCACCTACCCCGAGAGATAGAGATGATCGCGGACCTCCGCACTTTTCGTAAACAGGCCAAGTGGAAGGGACAAATTGGACCATACATACGATTAATCATGGAGGATGGCGGCTCTCGCCTATGCACCTCGATTGGTAATAATATGTATGGCCTGATCATAGTCACGGGTTTCCCCCATCCAATACATCAATTCGAGTGGGGTTTATTAAATAGTGGAATTCAGTTTCCCACGGGCACAAGCTCCCATGGTTACTTACATCTCAGGCCAGAGTATGAGAACACTCTTGATTAAGGATCATATATTATCCTTTAAAAAATGAGATTGGCACAAGGGTGGAGACTAGGAAGTTCTACTCAAAGGAAAGAAAGGTCTTGAATGGCTTAATCAGCATACGGGGTTTCACACTAGCATTCGGAGGGACCAAGGTAGTGAGAAGAAACTGGAGAAAAGAAATTAAGCACTTCAAGCAGTCCAAAGAGAAAGATGGATGTGGCGTTATCCATGTGACATTGATGAGCAGGATTTATAGTCCATGAAGAGAAGGGACCTGCCCACTATTTAGACATACTACGAGATCAAATGTAGTAGCCTTGAATCTTAAATCTAAGTTGGGTTTAATGTTCTATGAATGACACTAAGACCCGTGTCCTAACTAATGCAGTGCAAAACCTGAACTTACCCCGGCCTTGATTGGCGAACCAGCTAACCACTTAATCAATTTAAAACCATGCTGTCAAGTCATTTATGAAAGATGGGTGGGTGATTTTAGTTTTTGGAAGTTAAGGCCGACATCTAGAGAGTTTCTTAATTGCCCTTGTACTTATGTAGGTTGAATGCTCCTAACTAATATAATTAAAAATTAATTTAATTAGTTTCTAATGCAATACACGCTAGTTGAAAGGTCAAATCATGAATGCTTTAGATTTTAAGAATAGACTTATAAAAAAATAATTTTTAGGAGATTAGACATCCTCAGGTTTGGCACCTCGTCTTCATAGGCCAGATTATTCAAACTCTACTCGCAAGTAAGGAGGTGTCCCAAAGCAAGGAGAAAAAAAATGCAATAATATGGATGCGACCCCGGACAATTCCTACAATTCTCTAGATTTATTAAGTTTTTAAGTTATTTAAATATTAAAATTTAAAATTTAATTATGAGTAAAAAAATTTTGGTCCTTAAAGAGCTTAACGATGTCCAAGCTAAAACAAAAATGACATGTAGATCTCCAATAAACTAAGAAAAGCAGGTAACCCTAAAGGTACATAATATAAA